AGCAGGCCGCATAGGGGGAGGACTCAAAGAAATTGGGACACGACGAGGAGGTAACCTAGGTCCAACAGGAACGGAACGAGAGACGACACTTGCACTGCCAACTGACTGATCTTTATGCGGGACTGGTGGAGGTACCTCAGACACCTCGTGCTGATGCAGGTAATTGGATAGTTCATATAGTTCGCTTCGTATCGCACGAACATTCTCAGATATTTCTTGACTTTCCTGACCTCTGATCTGATCCAGTTCATGAATGTGCTGAAGCAGGCGATTGATATCATGAGTTAGAATTTCGCTACGGGGCTGCGTAGGAATGGTGTCCAGATCGGAGTGAATTGACGGATTATTGCTTTGCGGTGTGCTCATGCTGACGCTCATAGATACCGAAGCAGCTGAGAATGATGGTGCAGGAGAGCTCGGAAGAGGTACCATGGCAGGAGAAGGCTATAGCGTTAGTGAGTTAAAATCAAATAAATCAAATGAGATATAAGACATACAACTGGTAAAGGCGTTAAGCTGCGATGACTTGACAGAAGTGACGGCTCTGTAGAAGGCTCCGAAACATCCCGCTCACCCACGAGGGATGTCTGCTCAACATCAGGAGACAACGTGATAGAAACAATGGAAACATCAGATACGCTGGACGCCGTTCGTGATAATGATGACGATTCCATAGAAGTTGATACTATCACTGGCGTTGGAGCACTGGTGGGCGATGAGATAGAAGGTGGAAGGGCTGGATGGGGCACTGGAGATGGGGAGAAGGAGAGGGAACTCGACATCGTCTCCGTAATGGGGGTGAGTCGCTCCAAAGAAGTCAGGGGAGATATGCTAGGCCTCATGAATGAAGTGTCAAAAGATGTATCCAAACCCTCCGGCATCTGAACAGATTGCACAGATGGTGATGGATGCAAGACAGACGAATTAAAAGACATATCAGTTTCAGGCGCCCACATGGATTCACGAACGGAGGGAGTAGAAATAGAGAGTTCTGGCACGCCATGAGCACTCGGAGTCAGCCCATCAGAAACCATTAAGGGAGAAGATTCTGTTAGACTTGAGACAGGCGTCATCGATTGCAAGCGTGTATTGTCTGATTGCGGAGTAATTGACGAAGGGAAAGATAATGAAACGCTGTTAGTGTGAACAACCGATGACGGTGCGGGAACACTGATTTGTTCAGACTCCAGCGATCCGCTCGCGGACAGAGAAGGGCTCGAACCAGATGGTGGCAGAGGGATATTTTCAGGAATGATTTCGAAATCCTCTTCGATGCTTTCTTCGCGTTCAACGTACTCTTCAAACTCTCTAAGGTTCTCTTCCACTACAGTTTCCTCGATGTACTCAATCTGTTCATCAGATAGCGATACGACCGGAGAGGAAACAACCGGTGGTATGATGGGAGGAACGTCTGCTTCGATCGGTATGTCGACATGAATTGAGAAGGGGGATTCAGCCTCCGAAGGTATGGTCCTGCACAGGGACGCAGTCTCGAATTGGGTCGAAGGCTCCGACTTGCATACTTCAGCTGTGATATATTCTGAGGATACCTCCGTTTTGCATACATCCGCAGTTATATAGTCGGTTGAAACATCAGATGCGCACTTTTCTGCGGTGACATACTCCGTAGAGGCCTCAGTTTTACATAGCTCCGCAGTGCTATAATCAGACTCGGACGGTATCGTCGGTAATGACTTGAACGACGCTGTGGAGGGCGTACCCGCTGTCTCATAGCCTTCACTGCCTGAAGATGTTCTCGACGTTTCACCCTGCGCTAACTCTTCCACGGCAGACCTGTTAGATGATGATGGTGTGGGTGTAATCGAACGACTCCTGGTAAAACTGCTGAGAGTAGAGCGAGTGGTGGTCCAAGGAGTGTAACTGCCCGAATTCTCTTTGTCTGAAGTCTCGTCATATGTAGTATAGCCCCTGGAACTGAACCCTCTCCTTCGTACTTCCGCACTCCTGGACAGCGAAGTTCGCGAAGGCGAAGTAGGCGTATAACTATATGAACCATCGTGCGAGTCGCCCAGAAGCGAAGCCGACTCTGTCCTTCTATAAGACAAGGTTGAGGGGACTATTTCTGTGTTAGAACCTCCTGATGTGATGCCAAACATGGTTCCATCTGTTACAAGACCTGTGGTGGTTCTGTCTTGTCCACTGGATGACGTAGATGTGACAGAGTAGAAGTTCGAAGAGTTCGAGTTTGGATCGCTCGACGACGTTCTAGACCCAGCAGAGAAGAATGCATCGTCTGACATTTCAGAATGAGGGCGAGATTTTCCACCTCTACTGCTGGGAGGCGGCGTGACTCTCACATCTCCTCCTAGACGTGGCCCACTAGAAACAGTAACAGGTGATCCATCACCCAAAAGTGTTCCACCGACGAGACTGAGGCCAAAGCCCAGTCCAGGACGGGCACTCCGAGCTCTACTCACGGCAGTCGCGAATTCCTCGTCTAGATCAGTCATCGAACTTGTTCTTCGTAAGGAGCTGCTACGACTAGGCCCAATAACGCGTGGATCTCCAGGGTACAGGAAAGCCTGGTTCGATACAGCAGCGTCGTCTGTTGTGCGGCTATGATGAGCAGAAAAAGAAGGCGCGCGAGAAAGCGAAATCGGACTCGAAGACCCAGAAAGCGAATGCAAATCGAGATCAGGAATAGTGTGTAATGGAGGAAGAAATACAGTGGATGCAGATCCTGATCCCGAACCAGATACGCTCGAAGAACTTGTCATAGAGCGGATAGTCCTAATCGAACCTGTCGGAGAACCCACCTCTGAACGATTAGGGAGTGTCACAGATCGATCAAGGGCCTCCCTACAAGACAACAGTCAGTTTCATCATGATGCAACGCAAGTGCATACTAATCCACTCACCAAATCGCGCTCACCCATCGAACCCTTTCCCTCGCACTTTCCGCCGCCAGTCTCTCAACTCCGTCACTATATAGTAGTTGGAAAGGGCAAAGGAGTTCCATCAAAGCAGGAGTTTCCTTCTCTTCAGCTTGCGTTTTTGCTGCCATAGTTCCTACATCCTCCCTCGCACTGGAATGAGTCGGGGACGGCACAGATCTTACTTCCGTACAATTTAACAGATCAAGGGTCACAACACCTCTTCCGCCACCTGGCGCAATCCACGAGAGTAGAAGCATATTGGGGTAAAGCAACGCTTCGCATCTCTGCCATCTGAATGGGGGAGCAGAGTGAACATTGAGATACCAGAGAAGACCTATTCGCAGAGGCTGCGAAAGAACATAAGCGGAATCAGTTGGGTTTCGGCACTTTCCGTACTGTATAAGATGCATACCTCCTGGCTATTTCTCGCATATGCGCCCAATTCAGCCATGTCAAATGGAGGAGGGATACCACTGCTACCACTCCTAACACTTCTGGGAGTTGAAGGGTGACCATGATTATTTCTGGATGATTCAGCAGCCAAATTTCCTGATAATGCCATACCCCTTAACCTATTTTCACCTCGCTCAGCCCGCTTCCTAAGGCTAAAAAGCCCCTCGCCTCTAGGAGTAGAAGTCGGAGCTGCACGAGTGGGCTTTCCTGACTTGTCCAGAGTCGGCGTTCGTTCTTTCCATGCTGCGACAATATTGCGCACGGACGTTAACGGTGACCGCGGCGATGTTTGAGGACGGCGAAGCGATGAGTTAGTGGGAGTGATGACCCCGCTAGATTGCGTGCCTGTGTTTCTCGAAGTGGTGAATGTATTTGATCCCGAGTTAGTGAACGTGTTTGTGAACGTGTTGGTGTACTCGCTAGGACTCATATAAGTGCTAGTACCAATGCCCCTAGAACCAGTCGAAGTCGAAGTTGGTCCTCTAGTTGGAGGAGCAAGCAACGACGACATCGAAAGAGGTTCTGAAGCGGAAGATGACACAGAAGATCCTGCTTTGCTTTTTGCAGGGGAAGACGGGCGCGAGCTATATCCAGTCGTGGTTCCAACTCCGTAACCAGTGTTGGTACCCAGATTGGGCGTCGACTGGCTTTGAGTAAACAGCGGACTTGGTGAACGGTAGCCTCCAGGAGCAGATGTTGCCCTTGAGTGACTATACGACGTCTCAGAGAAAGTTGTAGTTTTATCTTCGAAGAATGCAATAAGATCGCCAAACCTACGACCAGTCGGAGGTGCGGGGCCACGATCCGAGCCCGGATCAGTAGAAGAGCGAGAATGAGAAGGAGCTGGAGAAATGGCGCCACCCCGTTGAGCAGAGTACCTATGGGCTTCAGGAGTCGGATTGGCAGGACGCTGTGCACCTCCTGCCAACAAGTAGGAGGTAGGGCGAGAAGGCATATTTTCTGTCCGCTCTGATATGGTGCTAAGCACTCTGTGCTCACGTTCAGTCATGGAGTAAGGTGTTAAGCTTGTAGAGGTACGCGATGGCGTCGTCCCTGTGTAGGAACCGGATACGAATGAAGAGGAAGGCCCCCGAGACCACTGTGTAAGTGCTGCTTCAGTGCTGTCTATCTCTTCATCCAGTTCATTCAGAGTTGCCTCGACCTCAGCGGTTTCCTCGACGGAATTTTCTTCAGAATAAGTATATGAATCGGCAGACCCAGACGGAGAGAGAAGAACGCGTCGCATGTTCCTTGCGGACGTCGCTCCGTCACTATCTGAGGATGCCACAGGTGTTTCTTTTCCAGAGATTAGCTTGATGTGAACTGTGGATGAGGAAGTACACACCTGATGAATAGGTATACGAATCCCTTGAAGGCGACATTGGTGTTTGAGATTGAGAAAGAGTTGAGTAAGTGGCAGTCCCATAGTATGGAGACCGCGTTTCGCTAGATCCGTAGCTTGTCATGTCGACTAAAAGAAAATGTTAGTATACATGGAGTCAGCTAAAGAAAAGTTACAAGTCAGTCGACAACGAAGATCCACAAAGAACGTTGAAGAGCCACGAACAACTTAGGGCAGGCGCGTTCGCGTTCGCGACGGGTCATGTGACACCGTGATGTTATGTCAGCACTCAGGAAATGAGCCACTTTGCTCGCGCTTATTAGCACTTGCAAGCACATCATGGCTGATATGGAAGTCGACACCCCTGCAGCTGCTCCTGTTGTAAAGAAAGAGAACAAAGATGACACGAAGGAAGGCAAGAAGAGATTCGAGGTAAAGAAGGTATGTGCTGACGGCATACAAGTTGCATCTGGCTGCTCACCATTTGTCTGATTATCAGTGGAATGCCGTATCGCTCTGGGCGTGGGGTACGACGCTTTCGCGTTGGATGTGGGCAATAATAACGGATCATTCTCTGCAGATATCGTCGTAGACAATTGTGCTATATGCAGGAATCATATCATGGACCTATGTGAGTTCCGTCTTCTCCAAATGACTCTCTGGCAATGCTGACTACTTGAACACTAGGTATCGACTGTCAGGCGAATCAGGTCTCAGCGACAAGTGAAGAGTGTAACGCTGCTTGGGGTATCTGCAACGTAAGTTTCTCTGTCATTACAGGCCCATCGATGATGATAAACGTATTCCTAGCATGCCTTTCATTTCCATTGCATTTCCCGTTGGTTGAAAACGAGAAATGTATGCCCATTGGACAATCGTGAATGGGAACTACAGAAGTATGTGCTGCTTTTTGTTGTGGTTCATTGCACCTTATCGTTGTGTTCACAGATACGGGCGTTAAGACATGTATCACTCTTCAAGCTCTCAAAGGACTCGATTATGTATCATAGAGCACTATCCCATGTTCATGTATTTCCTGGTTGCTATCCAAAATGTGCCAGCTTTCTAACCTGGTGTTACTTGCGAAGTCAATCGTGTAGGTTGTTTGAAAATAAGAAACTGACGCACTGAGACGATCCTAAACCGATACCGCACACAGTAAATAAGCGCTCGGAATTCGGAAGTTGTCCGAGACCCTTTTCCTTCTTCAAGTTCCTTCAGAGACTATCACGTATCTGCATAGTACTACTACGCCAACCTGCGCATCCGGTTGATATCCCAATCTCTACTTCGCAATTCTTTTCCTTCACCAGCGCGGATTTTCTAGGACACAATGTCAGACTTGGACACCAAGTGGACATTTTCTCAAGATTTCTATCACCAGTTCCAAGCTACACGCTCTGGTCTGCAACGAGTCACTTTATTTCAATACTCACCATCTAATACCTAGACGGACGACTTTATCAGACTTGGCTTCCCGAATAGATGCCGCTAAATCTAGTCCTTTGCCCTCAGCACCTGTCCTCAGTGTAGTACAGGAATTGACAATAGGGCTGGCCGGGTTGGCAAAAAGTCTCACCGATGCTACAGGTTCTCTCCCTAGCTATGACCAACGACAATGTGAGCTGGTGAGTTATCATAGTTTCGATTATTTTGGCTCGTCGTTGATTGAATCCTTTTTGTGGGATGGAAGCAACTGAAAACGTTGGAGAAGTCGTTAGATGACCTACGCACCTCTGTCACGCCCAAGCATAAATTTGCTTTCAAACGCAAGGTCGCTGCTCAACCTTCGAAGCCGGGTACAGACAGATCGGCTTCCATCCAAACCCCAGATACCAAAACGTCGTCCACTGCGCCTGCTTTTACAATCTCATCACATTCGCATCGGTACCTCAAAACAGACACACTCTTTACCCCGGAGAACTCCACGTTCCAGTCTGAAGTATCAATATCTGATATTGAAGATTGCATCGTCAATCTACTTCCCTCGAAGCAGCTGACTGTGGAAATATCAGCACTTCATATCCAACGTCTGTCCAGTACCGTTCTCCTTATACCACCAATCAAAGGCAGTGTCATCTTACATGAATTATCTAATTGTGTTGTGATTTCTGCATGCCATCAAGTGAGTTGGTGCTAAAAAAAAATTTGTTGAAGGAAGCTAGAGTTTTCGCAGTTCCGCATGCACCGATCCACTAGTGTGGATGTATATCTTGCAGGAGCGTCCAATCCCACAATTGAACATTGTACCCGCATACGTTTCGGTACTTATCCTGAAGCTATGCAATTGAGTCCTGATCATCAGGTTTGCCTTCCTCAGGATTCCGACCGTTTTTCTTGGCATCTGATATCTTCGTCAGAAAAACGTGCAACTTTCTATTCAGGATTTCTCTCATATACGGTCGTCTCCTTCTCCCAATTGGAGTTCACTATCAGGTGGTGAAGCTGATAAGATATGGACACAAGTCGCGACAGGTGATGAAGAATATCTCATGAATAGCTTGAAAGAGTTTCTTCCTGTATAAAACCACCATCACACTCACTCTGTCGAAAATGGCTAGACCCGAAGGGCCCAAAAATATCAAAAGCCCTTGATTTTGGCCTTTTGCTTCCGGTGAAGTGATGGTCGGAGGCTTGTGGTTCGTACTCGCAAGCTGTCACGATAAATATACCACCATCTTTGATAAGTATCTTGGATTGCGCTAATTCTGGTAAGACTTTCACAAAACAGTCAAAACGGTGATATGAAAACCATACAGCATATTCGTTGTGACGCCAAAGTGAGGAACTTTGTAAGTTGAGCTTGCATCTTGTACTACTGGTAGTGAATTGAAAATTTGAGCTTCACATATACTTAGTATTACCAGTAGACACAGTGCACACCTGAGGGAAAGAGCGTATGAAAGAGAACCACCCTACAGTATTTTGCACTCGTGGTTAATACAATCTAATCATCAGGGATAAAGCGTACCAAACAACAACCTTGTCTCGATCAGAAGGATGGCTTATCTTCACAGCCGCCTTCTGGTCGCAAATTCGCTTTAAAAGCTGCCCGCACCAGCTTCTTGACCTCGAAGTGCTTTGTTCACTAAAATTTTTCTGACTCGTAGCTGAACATGGCAGATTCTGATTGTATCGCGGCTTTGTGTGGCATGTGCTGTAAGTCCTGTCATCACAAAACTGTGATTCTGATGAGTCTCAAAGTCGTTGGCGTCCACGTCAGGTATATTCGGTGCTGCTTCTGCCGAAAGTTGGTGCGACACTCGTGAACAGAATCATATTTTGAGGATCACTCGTCACGAAAACTGAAGATGATCTACTACGTTCTTCTCCAGGGGCATTCGGAGGAGGTGGCTGTTGCTGCAGATGCGGTGGACCGACGGGGTGTTGTGGTTCTTGTTGCAGTAGATCCTTTGATGAGGACCACTTTGACGAAGAAGTGAGGAAAAACTTGGAGCGCACCAAGGCCCCAAGCGTCGATGGGAAAATTCCGGTAAACTCACAGCCCGAGCCTTCGAAAGAGATGATCATAAAGAGTGGCAGTACACCATAGCCACTCGGTCCCGGGCGATCATTTTATGCGTTCTACACTTTATTAGTCAGTTACTTTTGTTTATTTTGTCCCTGATACAACGCTCATCGATCATCGCTGCACCTGGCTAGTCTATGGCTCACCGTACAAGTTTGCTGCTTGTACGACGAACACTTCAGCGACCAATTGTGGAATGGATGTACTTGGTGTTGATCTCCTTACAGTAAGCAGACCTATCGACGGAAGGTATGGAAGCTGTCAATGTTGGCGTTCCTTGCGGTGTCTCAGGCTGAACTTATTTGCGTGAATGGAAACCTTGGAATAGTGATGTAGTGTTATGCCAAGTTTACATGTAAAACAGGGAGACTTCACAATGATTTTCCACTCAATCTGCTGGAAACGGTCTTCGCGATCGGCCTCCGTGGCATGAGGCAGTTTCTCGAAGAAGTATATTTCGAATATTCGAATTCTGTTTCTGTTTGTGCCGTATTACGCCGTATGTTCTAAGCTTGGCAAGCTATGAGATTGGGCTTGAGAGGCGTATTAGATAAGTTTGGCTATCTAACCGAGACGCACGAGCGTTCGAAAACGTTGGTCTCCAGTCGAATATCACCATATATGTGCATGAGGATGTCAACGATAACTGGAAGAGCTTGATACATTGATGATGATTCCACTCTCAGCCCTTCAAGTCAGCTTCCCACAAGCTTGTTTCTCAATGTCGTAATATTGCAAGTCCCTTGATTTCTGATGGCATTCTCAACCTCACATTTCTGCTTACTACTACATCCATGTTCAAGTTCCGGACTTGCGTTACGCTTTCCTTCGTCTCAACGTCTATCCTTTTGCCAGCATTCTGACCGCCCCTTCTTATGTACAGATTGCTTCCGATCTCACTATTTATACTAGGGAAGAATCCTTCTGTGTTGCCTAGCCTTCGAATTTACCATCAAACAAACGAACTATCAGTGTTGGACCATGTGCAGTAGTAGGGAGAGGCGGCGAACGAGAGGAGAGATTGCGTGTGCAGAATGCCGCAGGCACGTCGTCAAACCCAGTCCTGTCCAACGTATGCTAATATCCCAACTCGAAACTTGAATAGGTTAAAAGCGAAATGTGATAGACAAGGTAAGGGCTATTACCAACTAATTTAATGTCTTCTTCGTGCTGTTCTTTTGCTAACAATTTCGTTATAAAGTGCCTTGCTCAACCTGCGTTAAAAGAGGATGCGGCATGTTATGCCCTAATGGTATGAGAAGATACGTAAGATCTTTGCTGGTGTTTATTGTCTTTACTTTCAGGCACCATGCCTCCAGGAGAAGGAAGCCGGTTAGTTGTATTATTACCACTTGTCATTTCTTGGTCGTGTGCTGAAGTACCTGTCATTTGCATAGGTTCGTTGGAATCGCTGAAGACTATCTTCGTCGTAAGATGACCAAAATGGAGGAACGCATGCATTCGCTAGAGGATGCACTAGCCATCATTCAAACCAATTCTTCAAATCAGCCTCACCCTCTTCTAATCAATGTGCCATCTCCAGACGATACCGAGACTGAGACTGAGGAGCAATCAAAAACCATAAACGAGTTCAATAGATATGGCCTAATCGACGCTTTGGGTTCCTTGCATCTTGATAGCGAGGAGCACAGTGGAGCTGTTCGCAGTGCTGTCCGTTTTTTTGGGCCATCAGGTGGTTCGGAGGTAGGTCCTTGTGTTTTTCGAAGTCATGAATAATAATTTCCAAGCGACTGGGCGTCTGTTTTAAAGAGTTTATTATTGGTGAGCGATCTTTTATTTCCATGAGAATATAGCCATATATTTCCCTAAGAGGGCAAAAGAAATCGTCACGGAGGCTTCGACACCACCAAGTTTTCCTCAAGATTTCGACGCCTCCTATCTTCCAGACGAAATCAATGTATTCTATAAATCCTTCCCATTGACACCTTCTGGCATCCCAATAGCTCCTGTGCAATCAATGATAGAGTCATTTCTACCAGAGATAGGAAGAGCGACTCTGCTATGCGAGACTTTCACCGAGCACTTAACCTGGATGTTCCACATAGTATCGCGTCGACATATCATCATTGAACTCATCCCCGCTGTATACAAACACCTGAGGAACCCTTCCCAGTCGCGGGAATATGGACCACACGATCTGGCACTCTTATTCATTGTCCTTGCCATTGGTGCTCTTGTCGATTTCACTCTTCCTCCATACAATGCCGAGGGTCAACTTTATTACAGGCTTGCACGGTCAGCACTTTGTTTGCAGCCAGTACTGACCAATAGATCAATCGTTACGGTGAAAGCGTTGCATCTCATGAGCATATACAATGGCATGAGCGGCTTGGAGAGTAACTTGGAGAATTCCTACTCTCTTCTCAATTTTGCGGGCCAGATAGCACTTCAGGTACGAGCCGCAACCTAAAATGCTTCTTTTCGAAATATCTGATGGTAGTTTCTAGATTGGGTCTCGTAAGTCTTCGTGTTATCTCACTTTCCGCTAGTAACGACCACATTATCTTTGCCAAGACAAGGATCCCTCGTTGTGGGGCTTTGAGGGTAGAGAGGCTTACGATCGACGGGTGTCGTTCTGGAATCTGTTTGCAGGCACCCTCTGGCAGGTACGCCACGGGGATTAACACGGGTCGCAACCTTCTTATCTATATTTACAGAGTCTAGTTACCGGCCGCCCCCCAGTTATCATGCCAGATTTTATCCACTGCCAATACCCAACAGAAATCGATGAAATCACTTTTCAAGAAGGGGAAGTTCCTTTGGGCTGTAAGGTGTTCTTAGAATGGCATTTCCTCCCGTTCTAATGACTGTACTGTAGTTGGCGCATGGAGCTTCAGGTACACCGTGGAATGCTTGGCGCCAGTCGTGCAAGTCACTCAAGCGGTGAAACCTCCGAGTTATCAGTCTATCCTGGAACTCGACCGGAAAATTCGCGAATTTGATGTCCCAAGATCACAAAACACGGCGCATCTCGAGCAGACGTCCAAAGAGATGCAAGCTTGGGTGCGATCTCACTATCGGGAGCTCAGTACGTACAATCACACGAAAACCACAAATACGACATGGCTCTGATGTTTTCATAATAGCTCTGCTTTTTCTTCACAGAGGATTTTTCGCGCAAGCTATGACCGACTACCCTTCTGACCCGATGAGAAGCCCTCTAGGCCAGTCCTTTCTTGCCGCATATCAAAGTGCATGCGTAGTCCTGGATTCTACAAGAGTTCAGTACTCACTTCAGCCTATCCTCTGTGCTCGTGTTTGGCGAATATGGTCTTATGCATTTTCTGCCGCAGTAAGCATTTCATTTCGGATAGTTATCACTCCTTATTTTACCTGCCAGGTCATAATCGGCACCGTAGCTATGCGTAGATTAGGCTTGAAACTTGATCCTCCGCCATTCGAAAAACTGGAACAAGCATGCTCGTTGTTCAAAGCTGCAGCTGAAACAAGTAGTCGCGCGAAGAAGGCGCTGGTGAGTGCCAAAACGCTTTTTCATATTTTCGTTCGTTGATTGATATGGTTGTACCGTAGCCCATCCTGCTTAGGCTACGCCAAAAAGCACTGCTGTCGAGTCAAGACGTGGTCATGCATCCTGCATCATTCACCGCAGGACAAAGTCACACTGCTGACCGTGATGAGGGTGACGATGAACTAGCCATCTTTGGTGGACGGACGATGTTGGTCACTCCTAAACCTTCAACAGATTATATACCCTTCAGCCCGACAGAAGTTTCAGTTGACTACTCTACTGGCCCAATGACCGAAATACCCATACAAGGGCAATCATCTCAGAGACTTCAACAGTCTTCTGGATGCATCCCTGGACCCTCGTCGTCTTATCACGGACATCCTACAAGTGAACGTGTAGTGGGCTTGCCACTTGAATGGGAAAACCTCTACCGTGAAATTCCTGGGCCTTCCTATTCTTATGACACCGGTGCCGTATACACCCCTCAAATCATCCCTGGTATCGATCATCGACAGAGAGGTATAATGTTGGAGGATAGGTGGTCATCGTTCATGCATCATTGTACTGTTCCTTCGAACCACGCTCCAAGACCTCCTGGTTGATGTATCGGAGAATGGTGATGATCTGGTAGTTCAGTAGTTTGTCGACGTATAAATAGGCTCGTCTTGAATGATAGACTATGGTGTGATCGCCTCTAATCTTCTGTAGAACGCTAGATTAGAAGCAGTGAGATTGCGCAGCTCCTGAGGAAATCAATGTGTGGCGATCGAGGGCGGGCGTGGTGCGCTCCGTATTCGGGTGGGGGTCATGGAAAGTACGAAATTATTATCTGATACGGGAGCTCAGCATTCAGAACCTATAGACAATTAAGTCCGTAAAATTTGCGGGACATGAAAGAAAGTGCATGGAAGTTGAGCAGAGATTAAAATGCAAGTCGAAGTCCAGTCATATGCAAAGCATGACAATATCCATTTTCCGGGGAGAAATATTCCATTAGTCGGTCAGTATTCGTATTCACAGAACTACGCCACCATGAGATAGCACACTAACTTACGGTAGATGGGCTAGCTTGATCGCACCGTTTCGGGGAGATACATTAGCCCCCGATAAGTCGCGCTGTCCACCCCTGCCATGATAAAGTGCTGAACAGTAAAGCGTCAGTAGAGAGCTTCTCAATCCCACGATGCGCTGGTTAGGGCTAAAACCTACTACGTGCATCAAAGTTTTAGGGTGTGTGAAATTGATAGGTTGAACAAATCTTACCCCGTTCAAACTTGACTTCAAATCTGGAATGCTGTCGATACAGGCTATAGGTTTATGCGAGGCTGCGCTGATGAATCAAAACGCGTCATGATCCCAGCTAGCGGCACAAGCACAGGTACAGGTACATCAAGCTCATGCTGACGTCTCGGCGTATTGCGACAATTGCTTTCGTCCATTGACAGCTGACATCGCTGAGACTGGAGTAGGATATTTCCATGCGCAATTAACGGTAGGGGAGTAACCGAAGTGAAATACACGTTGCTTGGGCCCTAAGGAGATGACCACGAACCGTCATCAGTGATAGTGTCCATCATGATAATGAGAATCTTCCCCTGATTTGGAAGGAGAGATACTTACGATTGTGACTCATGCGATGTGAGGGTGAAGGGCAAAATATTCCCTACATTAACCGTGATTTGACACGTCCGAGTCATACCTTCCCGCAGACCCCTGACTGGCTACGATGCTATGCTATTTGTTCACTGAGGGCCTCTGTAAACGAATCAGTGTTCTATGACTATAAGTTGATGTAATGAATGCTCGACTATTTCAGTCCATCGAGTTGATTGAGATGTCTGATGATGGTGACGTTATACGAGGGATTTGCTCTGATATGTATACCAGGCCACTTGTTCAAAAGCTGTGTGCCGCTCCATTGATTTACAGGTGACCGGTGAAAAGTTCAAGGTTATTTTTTTGGTAGCACGACCCAAGCACTACTCGGTTGATAATTTATCTTCTGGGTTTGAAGTGCACTGGCCATTGAAAGCGAGTATTCAGACTGTCATTCAAGCATGGACCCCAGGAGAATGATTGGTGTAGGGTGTACTGGATTACTTGCACCGAGTCCGAACACAGGATGTTCAAGTTGCCCATATGTAGACATCGTGAACATTCTCACGGCAATTTACTGGACGTTTATGGGTGCTTATGGGCGCTTATGTACGAGACATGTGTAGTACACGAGCTTGTTAGAAGTTTGATTTGATAGACTGTCATATCATAGCATTGCCAGCGCCATTGAAGACGGTCAGACCCTCTGGAACTTGAAACACCCTCAGCCCTTACAGCCCTCACCAGCTACAGATTAAAGATGGGTTCAGGTCGTTTTTCTCTTATTCTCCATAACATCTACTCGACTCTTTTTCGACCACACATGCCTTATCCAAACGACATTTTTGGCATATTCCAGGAGGGCGTCATCGGGCCTATGGGACCTGAGTCATGGGAGCGGCAGCTTTGCGTAGACGATAGGTCCACAAATTGTTATATCGACCACATCGTGTTTTGTAAATGCAAAGACGACAAGAAACACGAATTCTTGTTGATTTCCGTTTGCTACCCGGACCCAAACATCACGGCCAAGGCACTTGTGGTCGTCGACCGTTCACCCTCCGCTCCGTCACCCAACTCGTCTGTTCATACCCCTCTAGGCTCTGCCATTGTGTCACCGTCAGTCTCCGATACTCCTGCCCATGATCGTATTGTCATCACCAAAGAAGACGATAAAACGGAGTTGACTAAACCGTATAAACCATACAGGGAGCTCTGTACCCTTACATTCTCCGAGTCTTGTCCCTCCAATATCACCGGAAATTATTTATCGCCTTCTGTTCGGCAGCTATGCATCCTGTTGAAAGTCATCAACAAACACGCCCCGCTCTACAATCTTTATGAGCACCAGTGCTACTGGTTTGCGAATACCGTGTTTGACACGTTGAAGAAACTATTTCCAAATGCAGAGGAGAAGTGTAGTTCACACGACATGCGCGCCAACTATCACGGGTTGAAATTCGACCATCGTAACAGTATAGAGACGATATCTGAAGAATATGACAGGGCATGGAGTGAGGCGTGTGACAGGGTGAGGGAGGAACAGAGAAAACGAGAAGAAAGTCGACGTAAAGTGAGTAAACTCTCGCTGTCGTATTTTGCTATCTATTAATTTTTTTTAACTTATCAAAAGGATGTTGAAAATGGGATAAAGATAGGTGAAGAACGCGGGATGAAGGTAGGTGAAGAACACGGTCGTGCGGAACGAGAGCAACTCAAGGCTGAAAGTGCGCGCCGCGACGCTGAAAGACTGGCTGAAATAGCCCAGCTCAAAGCCAGACTACGTGAATACGAAGACTGTCAGCCTGACAATGCGGCGGCCCCGGCCTGAAGAAGGGATGTCAAGTTTGTTCGTGAGTCCATTTGAGCATTACTACTTTCAAAACTAACAAGGATCTGTATCACAGTCGTAGCCAGGAAGACAGCAAAGCTGTCAAACATGCCATATCTTTCCTATTATTTATTTTCACAGAGCGGAATCTATGATTCGTCATCGTTAACATGTCCATGTATATTTTAGTACACTGTTTCAGGTGTAGGTACCGTGCCAGGCCTCTAGTGTAGTTAAATCATCGCGACGGTTCGAAAGTGGGTAGTTTGATAGTGCCACTCAGACTCCCATGCTGCTATGTTATAACGATCCCCAGATAGTTGCCAAATGTTTATGGAGGATGTCGCTGCGAATAATGACAAAGAAATCTATAATCATGATTCCGACGGCCTCACCGTGGTCCGTAATAACCGTTTCCCGAGTCCTGTGGAAGACCTTGTGACTCTTTTCTTCCATCCTCGTGAGCATCGTAGGCTTCGCTGCCAAAATTCCATGGAATATATCGTAAAATGCATTCTATTACAAGGCCCATATTATTCCTCGTGATTCCATCCGAACATACGCCGTGACCATCCAGCAACTTGTGATCTCTTTTTACCTGCCAGTTATATAGATGGAGGTGGAAGGAGCGGCAGCGTTCTCCTCGAGGGTTTCTCATCTGCTCTCTTCTGAAATGCTCAACGTCGCCCTTTTTCTTCTGGGCTTGGTGTTCAGCGGCGACGTGCTCGCGTCATCAGCGCCCAACGTCGTCGATGTCGGCTATGCGAGCTATCTGGGAAACCGGTCGTATCCCAACACGGTAGCCTACCTGGGCATTCCCTATGCCGAGCCTCCCCTGGCCGAATTACGATGGCGCGCACCGCTACCTCTGAACACGACTCGCATCTCCCAAGAAGCAAACGGACAGGTCATCAATGCCACCACGTACCCCATGTTCTGTGTCCAAGGTACCACCGGAGGTACGTCCTGACGCGCCACGTTCCCGTGTGTGCGGCTCTTGACTGGTGGTAGGTGGGGATCACGGAGGAGCTGGTTCGGAAGATTGTCTCAAAGTGAATATTTACGCACCTGCTGGAGCGAAGGAAGGAGATAACCGTGCGTGCGTCCTTGCCATTCGCCTCGTCTCCAATGCTTATCCAGAGGGCATACCATAGTGCCTGTCCTGTTTTATATACATGGTGGAGGTACGCTACACTGCTCGCATCCATAAAGTAAGTTTAATGAAGCATAAGTTAAACTAAGGCTACGTCTACGGAAACCCACGCAATTGGCCATTTGACCCCTGGATTAACCAGAGTCCGAACGTCGTCATCGTCTCCGTCTACTATCGTCTGGACTCCTTCGGCTTCCTGTCCAACCCCGACTTCGTGGACGCCTCCATAGGCGACTTCAACGCTGGCTTCAAAGATCAAATCCAAGCTCTCAAATGGGTCAACCAGTATATCAGCGCTTTTGGCGGCGACCCTGATCATGTGACGATCAACGGCCAGAGTGCTGGAGGAAGTTCTGTGGAATTACACATGGTCGCTCATGAAGACGAAGTATTGTTCTCTGGTGCCATCGCACAGAGCGTGTTTAGGACGCCTGTGTCCACCCCCGAAGAACAACTGGTAAGTTGCGCTCTTCTAAAAACAGTACACAGGCATCCTCATCGAGCATGCGAATATTAGCCCCTTTTCGATTTCTATTCCTCCTATGCAGGTTGTGGGAACGGGACGACCGCAGCGCAGATGGCCTGTTTGAGAAATGCGAGCATCAGTGCTTTGGCTCGTGCACAGGATGCTGCGGTGATGGGCGCATTGTGCGTGTGATACAATTACGGGTTGCTCTGTCGCCCCACTTTTCTCATTAATTTCACGTTCTCGCAGCTCGGGGCTGTACAACTCGTTCCATCCTGTCTTGGACGGAGCACTGCTCACGGATTACCCCACCAAATTATTCTTGGAAGGCAATTTTAGGAGAGTTCCTCTGATTGTTGGGTACGTGATACTTCCGGCGATCTACATCGCTGACTTTCGAGGGAGGGGGCGTGCCTGACCAAATTGATTTCCCCCAGCTCCACCTCTAACGAGACGCTCTCCGGTGGCACCAATATCACCGAAGCGCTCAAAGCGTATTTCCCACTACTCACTGACGCCGACCTCCAAGAGTTCTTAGCGCTCTACCCTCTCTCTGACTACGAGTCCGCCAGTCAGCAGTTCCAGGTGGCGACAGGGGAACCTGACGTGATATGCGGGGTGAGTCATTGTTTTTTGCACTATTTTCGTTCTCTCCGTCGCGAGCGAGAGCCACTTGGAATGGAATGTACTGAACAGCCCCTTGTGTGGTGTTTTTCATTTAGCGGGAAGCGATGGGGGAGAACTCGGCGCGTTACTCGGACACTTGGACGTATCGTTACAACCAGCCTAACCCTACCAGTGGCAGCGATGTTGTCGCTCACGCGGCAGAGAACTGGATGATGTTCCAAGGCACCAACACTGGGTGAGTTTGACACTAGCGCTTCGTGTTCGGGCTTGACGGTCCTATTTTTTTTTTTGCTAGGTATAATGGAACGACGACGTTCACGCCTCAAACACCGATCGAGCTGGCATTCACGTCGGAGCTTATCTCTTACTGGCTGTCGTTCGTGCGCTCGGGCAACCCGAATACATACAAACTCGAAATGTCCCCTGAGTGGGAGCCTTACACGACTACCAGTGAAGTCCGCATGGTCCTCCAACAGCAGCCTCAAAATATCACGACAGAAAGCGGGAGTTACATGGAAGATCAGCCCATGCCAGAAACAGAGAGATGCAATTTCGCAATAAGCAAGGTAGAGCGCTGTCAGAATTAGGATCTATGTAGTGTATGTGGATATCGATAAGATATAGTAGAGTGGTGCTGTTATTTCAACATATGTAAGTAGTGTTTGAACCAAGTGGAGCAAAAAGGCATCTAGCGTAAACGGTTTAACTGTGATATGCAGTATCAGATACAAGCAGCGTAAAGCCCCGAATAAAGAATGAGAATACATGAATGAGACTACCCTGAAAGCCTCGAAGTTCGAATAAAGTTTATAGCGTGTATAGAGTACGGTATGATCATAAGGTTAATCGAATGCACGTATAAATAGGACATGAGCAGAGGGGTGAAATGGGAACAACGATAAATGCAAAACGACATATTAGTCATGGGTATTGTTCGGTGACTGTGTCTGGGACCGCGCTGTAGCCCCTGCTGGCACTCGAGGCCAAGTCACAAGGAGCATGCCGTCACTCATAGATGCAGACACGGTGCTCATCTGCAGAAAAAGTTAGCGCCAGGCATGTATTACAAACGTCGAATGCTGACCATTGTGCCCGCTGGAACATCTACGATACGATCAAATTTCCCGTACTTAATCTCCTTGACGGGGTATTTGGAGTCGGCTAACACTTTATCGGGTGGAATGTTCGATCGGCGCTCACCAGAGATGATGAGTCTGCTACCGTCCAGATGTATGGCAATGTCATTTGCTTTCAATCCAGGTAACTCGAGGGTAGCAGTGACTCTACTTGAATCAGGATCATCACATAGCTCCAACCTGCGATAGAAGTCAGCGAATGCGCGAATAAAAGTATGATGACAGACATACCTTGGTTTGAGCTTTGGATTGTCCTGTTGATTCCTCTGTGCGGCTAGCATTTGGTGGCGCCTCAATAATAATTCTACGTATCTCCTGGCTAGAGCTCGATCTAAGCGTCGAAGGGTCTGTTCACGACTGCGAGATTGATCCAGTTTGCGTACGGCGGGGGGGCAGGCGACTGTCATGAAGTGACGGTAGTGATATGCAGGTGGCTGCGAGGATCTGAATGTACGGAGCTAGGGGCAAAAGTTGATTGCGTCTTTTATAGTTTTTGCAAGACTGCACTCCAAGAATGGGTCACGGCATCTGTTGGAAATTTCGGGTTAGTCAGATGTGTGATCCCGAACATGTACAGCACGGAAGCGGAGTATTAATAGATCGAGTCGGTACTCGGCACACAGCTCCCAGAAAAGTCGAGATGATTCGGATGATGAATAACATTCTTGGAGAGCTGTGCATTGAACATCGAACCTCGAACCGCACGGACACGAGTTCCTCGCAGACAGTGGGGCATCGTGGGTAGCCTTATTCAGCGAGAAAAAAGGCTTCGCATGAACGTGGATGTGCACAGATTCCAGTAATAGCGACTCGAGTGCGTCTGAAGTCTGCGGAATGTCAAGGGAGACGTGTATGACGATGGCTGTAGAGATTGTGAGTTGATGGTGGGGAAGGACAAAAAGAGAGACTAGTGGCACTGTGACATACTGTGACGTGGCTGTGACTGCACTGCACTTCCCCGCGCGACGTCACTTGTCACCACTACAGCCCAGTCGCAGTCTTGTACTTTCCTTGAGCTGTTCTCTAGTCTAGCACCACTCGCTCGCCGTATTATTCGTATTCCTGTGGTATCACCCTGTGTTACTTTACCTATCGCCGCGTTCAGCTATACCATCGCAATGAGCAAAGTCGTGTTTGGTATCTTCTTCTCTTTCACCATCCCCTTGGAGACTAATCTAACGTCTTTCATTCAGTCGGGAATGTTCCCTACAACATGGGAGAGGTATGTCGTCCGTCTGTTCATCATCGCCTGCACCGCTCATCAACATCGCCCCCCCAGGAACAACTTATCGACGTCTTCAAATCAGTTGGCCAAGTCATAGGCTTTAGGTGCTTAGTCCCTTTCCTCACGCTTTTCCTTCTTTATTTATTTATACCTCTCCCTGCTTAGGCTTGTTTTTGATAGAGACACAGGAAAACCTAGGGGTTATGGTTTCTGTGAATTTGCGGGTACATCCAATTTATTTTTTTCACTTGACAATCTTGATTCCGTCTGACTCAATCCAACTCTTCGCCGTAACATCACCGCAACCACCCTCAAAAATATGCGTGTGCCCGTGTTTCGAAATCTAAAAAAAAACATATATCGTCAACGTGCTTGTCGTGTGCTCTGCTCCCATATCTGCAAACCATGTATCATCAAGATCACGACACTGCGGCTTCTGCTGTGCGAAACCTCAACAACGTAGATGTCGGAGGTCGCCCCTTGAGGATCGATCTCGCTGACTCGGATCCCTTTTTAGAGGGCAAGACGACCGTCCGGGGCGAACTAGTTGATGGTGGGGAAGGTAGGCCACATTGGCGTGACCGCGAGCGTGACGACCATAGGAGTCATCCCAAGAGTCAGGATCCAAATGCCTTCCTTGGGAATCTACCACCTGGTGTTCCCGTTCCGATGGGAACAACTGCATTAGATACAACCAGTCAAACACTCGCAACTATGAATCCAAGTCAGCTGATGGAAGTCTTAGCCCAAATGAAGGTGTGCAATGGTTTTCGGTTTGGCTCGTCGGACGGCAACCTCAAGGCATTATTCCTATTCCTGTACAGGCTTTCGTCATAACTCACCCTGAGCAAGCGCGGACACTGTTAATAGCCCATCCGCAGTTAGCTTACGCGTTGTTCCAAGCACTGCTACTGAACAAGATCGTCGACCCAGCCATCTTGCAGGTAAGTCCATGGCCCCCCGAACCTTGCGTGTAAAATCCGAAGAACGATCTGCTTTTGGCAGCGCATGCTCGCAGCAACATCTAGTAGCTCCGCTCCGGCGCCTCCTCAGCCTCAGTCACAACCACACCCTCCACCCTCGAATCCTTATCAGCAAATGCCACCCATGCATCAACCACAGCCAGTCATGCCGCCACCTTCCATGTCTGCTCCCCCTGCGCAAGGACCCTCAAGCATGTACCAGCAACAGCCCCCGCAGCACGTTCCTCAACAGCCATCATATTACAGACCCCCTCCTCCCCCGGCTCCAGCGGCCCCACAGCCCTCTCAACCCGTACCAGACCTAAACATTGACCCAGCTCAGAGGGTAGGGACATTTTCTATCCGATCTCTTCGTATCCCATACTGAAAAAATATTTTCGCGGCACAGCAAATGCTCATGCAAGTATTAAGTCTGACTCCTGAACAGATTAACGGATTGCCGCCAAGCGAGAGAGAAACCATCCAACAACTGGTATGTGGATTCACAGCCGATGGTGTTCGCTGATGCAGATTCCGAACACAGCGCAATCAATTCATGGCCGGTATTAATGTCTAGCGTATCTATGTCTAGAACGTACCAAGGGGGTCAGAACAGTGCAATGCCACAAGGCCAGGCTCAAAAAACCAAGACTACGTCGAAAACATCCGTATCTAGACTATTACATACACATCGCCGTTCATACAAGTTTATTTGTCAAACTCTTTGACGCTTTGAGAGCAGCTAATTTCTTCCCAATCTCTTCCAATGGTATCATATCCGTCTTGGCCTTGGTTCCGACGTCATCTCTGTTCCTAACGTTCACGGATCTTCCGTCCAGTTCCTCTTGACCAACAACTAAATTTGGTAAAAGGAACCATTCATGTCAATATGCTGAACAGGAATGCATCGCCATTACGTACCGAGAATGAAATTGTATTGAGCGATTTCTCCGTTACGGACCTTCTTGGGGAGGGTATTTTCACCATTGTCAACGTCAACGTAAATTCCCAAAGAAGAAAGGTAGTCCGTGACTTCTTGCGCGTATGCTCTCTGCAAAGATGCCAAGATGTCAACTTGTAGTGATGAGAACATTAAAATTTAGGGTGACTCACGTAGGGAGCTGCGACCGGAACAACAAGGACTTGGCGGGGGGATAGCCAGAAGGGCCTATGCGACGAGGATCAGACCGGTCATCGACTCAAATAATAGATATCGTACCATTTCCCGGCAAAATGTTCAGTGATAATTGCGATGAAACGTTCCAGACTTCCCAGAATCGCACGATGAATGATCACGGGCCTTGATAGAGCTCTATCGCTCGACGTAGCGTCTTCAGCCGAACGATATTTCAAGTTGAACCGTTCTGGAAGCTGGAAATCGAGCTGGATCGTTGCACACTGGAATGAGCGTCGTAGAGCATCACGAATGGTAATATCAATTTTCGGGCCATAGAATGCCCCGTCACCGGGATTGATCTCCCACTTTCCAGGATATTGCTTATCAAGGGCTACCTTAAGTTGCTGTAAAAGATACCTTAGTTTAGTGTACGTATGACCGCGAAAATGATGTCAACGTACCTCCTCCGCAACATTCCAAGTCTCAAGCGCGCCGAGATAGTTGTCAGGACGCGTGGAGAGCTCCAGTTGGAAATCGAAGCCAAAGAGACCGTACACATGCTGCATAAAATCAAACAAGGCACTAATTTCCTCTTCAATCTATGAGTCAGCGTTTAAATTAGCACGAATATATATATTTGATAGGGGGGTGAGCGATAATATACCTGGGAAGGCATGCAGAACACATGGGTATCATCCTGCACAAAGCGCCGAACTCGAGTCAGACCTGTCAAGGCTCCTGATGCCTCGTTCCGATGAATGATTCCGAATTCTGCCATGCGAATTGGGAGTTCTTTGTAGCTGCGATCCCTGGAGTCAAATATGAGGCAGTGGCCGGGACAGTTCATGGGTTTCAACGCCCATTTCTCTTTCTCTACATCAAGGGTGAACATGCCATCCTGATAGTTCTGCGAGTGACCCGATGTCTCCCACAGCTTGCTGTTGTACATATTTGGAGATATCACTATGCGATGTCAGTGGCGAATCTATGTGAACATTAGCGCATGCAGCTCACCTTCTTGATAGCCCCGTTTGTAATACTCAGACTAAGAGTACTATTGAACGTTATCATTCTACGCAGGGAAACTGATATGACTTACTCTTAACATCTCCAAGAGTGTATTGTAAATACGCGTGCCGTGCGGCAGGAAGAAACAACTACCTGGACTGAGATCATTGAAGAAGAATAGCTCTTGCTCCTGAAATTAGCATTAGAAGAAGGATGGTGACTTTGTTAAGAGTACAACCTTCGCGATCTTTCGATGATCACGCCTGGCAGCTTCGGCCAGAAACGCCTTGTACTCCGTCAACTGTTTCTTATCAGGGAACGAGATTCCATAAATCCTTTGAAGAGAATCATTATTAGGATCACCAAGGAAATAAGAAGCTGAGTTCTAAAACCAATAAAGCTGTGAGAATAGCTGTTGATGTAACGTGATTCGCTGTTGTTTACCTTTGTGACCATGAATGCTTTAATCTTGCCGGTATGGGGAATGTGGGGCCCAACACAAAGATCAACCATCGGACCACATCGATACACTGTAGTGGACGTTCCGTCAGGAATCTTGGACTCGATGATATGTTTCTTGTATTTATTGTACTAACAGAACATTTCAGTAACGCAGATAGCAAGAGCGGATATACAACTTACGCCAAACATTTCCAGCAATGTTTCTTTGGGGACAACAAGACGTTCGAACTTTTGCTTTTCCTTGACCGCGCTTTCCGACAGCTTTTCTAATGCGGGGTAGTCCGTCATGCTGACTGCTCTGCAGGAACGTTAGTAAAACGCGATGGGTAAAGTTATATTTCAGTACCTGTCCTCCAAAGCCATCTCGTAGAAGAAACCCTCTTCAACAGGGGGACCGATGCATAGATGGCAACCATAGTGCCGCTCGGCAGCCTCACCAAGAACGTGTGCAGATGAATGCCAGAATACTCGCTTGCCTAAATGAACGAGGTTAGTTTATTCCAGCCAAATATATTATATATTTACCTTCTGGGTGTTCAAAGTCCAAGAGTTCAAGTTTGCAAGCAGCCTCCAAGGGCCGCTCCAGGTCCCAGAGGTTGCCATCGACCTATCCTTGTGCTTTAGCTCGCTAGGATGGGAACGATCTGAACAAGACACACTTTTGCGATCACAATGCGCTCTGACAAGCTCTTCGAAACTTCCTTTGCAACATCCATCGGGCTAGTTTCCCAGCTCGTACCTTTTCGCTCAGAGCCATCTGGAAGCGTGATGACGATTTCCTGTCTCGGTTGAGCTATGATGTATGTCTGGTCAGAGGTCACTCATCCTCGATGTCAAGGACCCCACCTTTTACAAAGTCATCATATTCTGCTTTGAGCTTCTCAAAAATCTTGATACGATGATCGAAGAATTCTGGTGGGGGTTGCAGCTACTAAAAGTCTGAGCCCGGTTTATATAAATTTCATGAACGCCTTCACCTCCAATGGATAAGCTGATCCCGCTGCTTGTTTAACTTTCTTTTCCTTTTGTTGCTTCCCACCTGTAGCATGGGGGGCTTCAAGAGCTGGTATTTGAACTGGTTCTGAGGTGGACGCGACTGGCGTAGTCATGGTGGTTGTCAGATGACGGGAGTAGCCAAAACTAAGAGGATGTGTTTTTGTTTGACGGAAAGGATATATACAACGATTGCACCTGGCAGAAGATAGCCACACCCGAGTCAACAGCCTCTGCATCCAAGAAAGTTCGAGTCACTGTCCGAAAAAATCAAGTCATCTATTTTGGACATCACGAGATCTTATCAGGCGCCACCGCAACCCCCCGGTATCGATCCCCCCTTCCGCCAGCATATCCTCAGTGGTTTATACACTGTTCAGCCTGGGCAGTTCATTCATATGACGAAAAATAATACATTTCTCTAATCAATGACGCGGTAACACTATATGTAATCCAAACATTCAGATCCATTAAAACAAAATAAATAAATCAGTCCGCCGTCCCCACTCTCCAAACCTTGATCACTCCTGCACGGTCCCCACTTACGATACCTCCACGGAAAGGGGAGTCAATACATGCCAAAGCGGTGATTATGTCCTGGTGAGACTTGAGCAAAGTCTGTTGATTATGCGTAATCAACGACATGCGTTGCGGAGGACGGTTGTTGTGACTGGCGGCGGCGGAAGATTGCAACCACGACTCAACGTTATTCACCGCAGAGCCAGTCGATCCACGAATTGTGCTAATTGGAACAAATGTTAGAGAGCATACTGTAAGAGAGCTGGTGAACATACCTATAGGAAGGTCTATCATGCCCAGAGTCTAGACCAACAAGCACCGACGTTCGCTCCAGCTTTGTCAGATCCCACAGCCTTATCCTACGATCTTCAGATCCGCTGACCATGAACCCGCGCCCAGTGGACCTATTCGATAAGTTTGTTTCGTTGGTCATATCAGCCATCTCCAGCCTATGAACTGTAGAATGGCCACCAAATTCAAGACCAACAATGACCGCACGAATGTCAAGCGAGGGCGCTGGCAAAGAATCTTCTCGGGGGATGCTCTGTGAAGATCCACGATTTCGTGCTAAAAGGCTGGGGTACGTTGAAGTGCCTGCTTGCCGTGACCGAACTAGGGCTGCTATGGCTGCTGCTGGACTTTCCTCAGCGTCAGCTCCCGGATGCTCTTTTGGCTCCTGAAGAGGATCAGAAGAAGAATTTGTGGTGCGAGTCGTGTAGCTTTCGACAAGAACCGTTTTTTCGATGTCCCAAACTTCTATCAGAGTAGTCGATGTTTGTTCAGAAGCCATTTTTGATGTTTCCACTGCAACCATAATCCACCGGCCCCGCCCCTTCGTGGGATGAACAACACATTGATGTATGCGAGATGACCTCCCGGATAGGTTCTTGCCAACTTGCCAACTTTTCAATAGCAGTCCAAAACGGCGGTCCCATAAAGTCAACGTTCCCATCGACGTCCCAACTATGATCCAAGAGCGTTTCCTATCAATGCACATACAACTAATAGGCCCTAGGTGGCGTGGATTTTGCATGGTTTGCAAGATCCGCATCGTTCGTAAGTCCAAGATGGTGATAACAGAATGAGTGGTAGCGTAAACCAAGTTTGAAGATGTATCTGTACAATGGATGTCGTTAGCGATTACTGTTGAGTACGATACAGCAATCAGTCAACTTACCCGAATTATAGTGGGACATGCATGTAATATATTCGCCAGCATGATCAACTCGATGTTCTCGAATGACTTGGAGCTTGCTGTATTTTGGAAGCGCACCGCTTTGATTCACATGAACACGAACAACATGCAAGCTTCCATCATCCGCCGCACTCGCAAAGCAGTGAACGTTCTCTAGCATGCAAACGCACTTTACTCGCGCATGATGTTGGCCGTAGGTGTGTCTAGGCTTGCTTGTCACATTCCGCTCTAGCCTTGCCGTGTCCCAGACTTTAACGGTCTTGTCGTCCGAGGACGACACGAAGAATATGTGATCTGGAGAGACAGCCAGTCCAGTAACGGTGTCTGAGTGAGAGTGTAGATGAGCGATGAGCGTTGCTTCTGCACGTCGGCTAGAATTGTCCCGTCCTGCAAAGCTGTGACGAGCTGCGTTTCGGCGCCGTGTAGGTCCCTCATGGACTTTAGGGCCAAAGTCGTTCTGCAATTCGCGGTTATTGTCCAGATAAAGATTTTCAAGTAAATTGCTGATGCCAGGTTCCTGACCATCTATACCCAAAGCATTAATTAAATGAACCCGCAGAACAAGAATTATAATTATTAAGCAAACACACCATAAGTTGAGATGGGCAGCAAAGAGGGTACCCGTGGCCTATTGGATCCTCGAGCTGTACCTGCCACTGATACGGGAGAAGACCTTCCGGATCTTTCTGGAGAGCCATCAGAACGAAATTTGGAAGGCGCTTCCAACAGCCCAGTGGCGTTTGCATTAGATGATCCGATTGCAGGAGCAGCTTTTTGTCCGTCAGTACTCCCAACTTGTAACCTATGTGCTGTACGAATAGTCGAGGAGTTTGTCGTGGAGACAACCGACTCAGTCGGACTATTTGGTCGATCAAGAGACAAAGCAGCTGCGGTAAGATGCACAGGCTGCGCCGGCATAGGTTGAACAGCCATCAGTGGGCTTCGTCGGTCCCGAGGAGATGGGTGACTCAGAGAAGATGCGGAACCGTTGATAGTGGCAAGCCTTCTGCGAAGATCTTCAAATGGAGCACCACTATTCCCATGGTCTATACTTGAAGCTCGACTCATTCGTGGGGTGCCTATTCGTCCAGGTAGGTCAAATGTAGACCGACGGGATGCAGAGACTATACGAGAAGAACGGGGAGTCACATCTAAAGAAGCTCGGGACTTCAAAAATACAGTCTGGGGGACTACAGCCAACTTCTGCATTTCTATGTCTCCAATGGTTCTGAGGTTTTTTTCTGCTTCAGGCTCTGATCTCAAACGGGACGCAAAACTAGAAGAAACCATGAGATAGATATTGAGGTTAACCAAAAGCTGAGTCCATACCTCGAGGTGGCATTAGCAAGTTTGAGAATATAGTCTCTCAAAGCCAATAATTTCGCTTCCTCAGAAGTCGTCATACCCAGATTGTGTAGTTTGGCAAGCTGAGCCTCATCTCTGATTACCTTGTGAGCAACGACTACTTTCAGGATGAAAGGCTCTACGTACTCTTCTGATCTATTCCTACCGACAATACTGGCGCTCCCATTCTTTCGCATGGAAACTATGCTTTCTCGAGGGGATTCAACTTTAGATGCCGTACGACGATGACCTTTCCAAAAACCGGTTTTTTCTGCTTTCATTGCCCATTGCACTGCGGCGTCGAAAACTTGTCGTGAAAGCTGCATATACCCCAGTGAGATCATGAATGATCAATTTGAAAACTATGCTTACTGGTGACTTCATACTGGTTAGAAGACTTTGTTCGTCTATGACCTTGATATCAGATCGCAGCAAATGCCTAAGGGACGGGTACAGAATACACCAGACGTCGCTGGTGGGCAGATATTTCGCAGCAGAAGCGATGAATGCGGCAGCACCTTTGAAAGGGGAGTGCATTCATTAGGTCGTTTCGTACATTTCTCGGCGCATCAATGCATACCTTGACGTATCCATACATTCGGATGATAGAAAAAACCGAGCGTCGCGCTCATCAACTCCCATATCCTCATTTTATGAAACAGCTCAAGCTCGCAAAGACTCGTTAGTGCAGCAAGTACCCTTGCAACAACAGTTTCCTCCACATCTGGATTAACCGTCAGATAAAGCATCTAGAGACGATCAAGTATACGATGCTAGCTCACGTACCAGAAAGTGCCTGTATCATCAGCGGCAAGATGTATTCATCCAAACTGCGCCCACCTGCACAAGCCGCCACATCCACGATGCTCTCAAAAAATGCACATCGTAAAAGCCAGTCACGGTCGTTCAAGTATGTAATCATATGGCTAAGGAGTACGTCGTTGGTCTTCTGTCGCCCAAGGAAAATGCATAATGACGATATATTGTGCAAAATTGCGCGCTTGACAATACTCGAAGGATCCATGAGTAAGGCAGAGAGTTGCTCTTGTATAGATGTCTGAAGGTCTTGAAGACTGACATCATAGGATACCTTTGAGTAAACATATGAGTGTCTCCTGGATAACAAAGGGGGAGTCCATCACTGACTTCAAAATGACCATCATCATACTCTTGTTTATCTGAACTTGGTGCCATTTTGTAGGCTCCGTGAGCTTTCAGTGCTTGGCCCATTTCCAGATATCGTACTGCAGTGTCGGCTAGCTGAACTATGCACTGAGCATATATACAACGAACAGATACTTCTGGGTCTTGTACGAGGTATTTCATATTTGGAATGATGTATTCCGGAAAAATAGAGACATTGGAAGGAGTGATGACAGTCACCAGCATTAACTAAACCACACAATAGTTTTTCGTCAAGAATCACAGCTACAAGAGCACATAGACATACCACTTGCATTAAAGTGCGCAAAGCTGCAGAACGAACGATGGCTGCCTCGTCGTGTAAGAGATCCACGATATAGGGCACCATCCTGTCCAGCTTCGCCTCGTCCGTGAGGTGACAGGCTAAGGCAAGGAATAGATCCAGTGCTCGTAGACGCGAGCTGGGGAGCGCACAATTGCGAATATTTGCGCTGACGAGCGAGAGGATTATAAGTGCAGGACCATCTTCGCTGGCTGCTCGAGGTCCTTTTAAAGCACCGCGCAAAGTTGACTCGCGATTTGGTATATACAGTTCCACCGGGAAGAGGTCCTTCAAAAGTCAAATAACAACATAAACATTGAATATACAATGTACCCATCGATGATGATGATGTCTTACCTGGATAGGTTTGGAGAAACCTCCTGACAGTCCATACTCTAGTTTAACGTCCATTACGGTTTGCTCTGCTGTATCAGGAAGGAGATACGGTTCTACGCCCTCGTAATCCTCCCAAATCCTCTCCAGTCGATTATCAGAGTCGCTTGGAAGCGCGTCGCTAGTAGTTTCCTTCGATCCACCTGATCCTGTTGCGGTATTGGTTTTGAAAGCTGAGCCACCAGGTTGTAGAGTTGAATGAGATTGGATCGATGGTGAAGGACTCATGGTACCTGGCGATGCCGCAGTACCCGGTGGTGCTGATATAGTCTGGTTGGAATGAGCTGCAGAAAATGGGAAAACAGCTCGAGTCGGGAGATCGTTAATTGACGAGACGTAATTGTGCAAGAAGGAGTAAAAACATTCTGGGAACACAGATCCTCGCGATGTGTGTAGAAGGGTATCGAATGTTGGGCGGGTTGTGGGGTCGAGGGCGATCATCTGCTTGATTATGCTCTACAGCCATATATGAGTTTGTTTGCGGTGCCATTCAATAAATGCATAGTACTAACACGTATACCGTCGTCGTCGATTGCACTCAGGGGCCCATCTACGTTGTACTCGCCTTCTCTGTATTTAAACAACTGGCTCAAGGAGAAAAGTGGTGCGCCTTCTAGGAAAAGTTCGGCAATCACACATCCTGCACTGAAACAATCCATCGACTCGGTGACCCGTCCGTCTCTTCTGCTCCCTTCAACACCTTCCTCTGCAGCACCAGCAAGCTTGTTCTTCTTCGCACTCACCTCTGGGTTGCTTGTCGCTGTATAAAACCGCTCTGGGGCAACATAGCACGTGCGACGTCCACTAGTATCGAAGAAGAACGAAAAATCGGCAGGGTCGTCCAAAGGCAGGAAAGTTGGCTTGTACTGCGCTGCGAAGTCCGTCAGGTATACCCAATTCCATGAAGTCACCAAAATATTGGTGGATTTAATGTCTCCGTGTGCGACTTTTCGATTTCGAGCGTCACGTAGCGCATTCAGCAATTGAAAGGCAATCCATTTCTTTTCAATTGCACTGAGAAAGGGGCGAGTACTGCGAAAGCCCGTTATTGGCCAGTAAACACGACAACAAAAATCACAGACCTTATGCGATCATAAAGGTTACTGGCAATCCACTGACGTATAATATACCCCGCCTTATCGGTTTCCACAAATGACTGATAGTTGTATACGTTCGCGATATCAGATAGAGATTCTCTTTCCACTAGACAAGGTGATATGAGTGCCAGTTATGAGTGGAACGAACGAGAAGTAATAGCGCACTCTTTAACCGACGATGATAGCTTCTCAAAGTGATACCAGGGTCAGGCTTTATGAATATTTTGATGACCAGGTAGCCGCTGCGGTGGCGACACTTCACGGTTTTGAGGAATCTCGTCTGTCCAAGACTGATATTGCGCTATGTTACGCGAGTACGAAGAAATGTATTGCAGTGTAACACACCTCTTGTCATATACAACATCTCCTCCGAGTTCTGCGACGAATGAATCTAGTGCACCGGTCGTACGGGTCAGGGTACTCGTCGACTGAGCGTTACCCATTGCTTGTGGCTGAAATTATGAAGACGAATAGCTGATGCGAAATGACACAGAATGGCAGGAGGTAAGGAGAGTGAAGGTTGAAGGGTGAATGAGAGCTTGAGAACTTGAATGCGTTGGAATATGTGTGGAAGTGGACGACGCGTGTGTTGAACAGGTCAATCGGTTAGGTTGAGCTCATCAGTGGATGCAGCACAGAAACAGCTGGAGAAGAAGGCAATGGCAAGAGCTAGACGTAGAACTGAGATAACCAACACGTCCTATTCAAGAGCGTCCACAGCGATGACCACTCAAGCTGCATAAACAGCACTCGGCATGCATTTCCTAATCGGGCTTTGCCTGCCGTTGCTTTGGCCATGTGCCCGCCCAAGGCTTTCTTCTTGACCACCAGCCTCCCTGTCGTTGACTTTCTGCTGTATTTCGTCGATGTTGGACATGAACCAGGGGAGGAAACGCTAATTTGACAAGGCTCGAGCTGCACAATGACATATACCTGAATGTGTTATCATCGCTAAACCTGCAACAACTGGAGTCGTGCAGCACTGACATGCAAGGGTTTTCTCAGTCTTTCCCCCCGGCTGGCAAGAATCACAAATATGAATTATTATCCTCAAAGCATTCGATAACCTTACACTTTCCGAACTTCGCCAAGTTCGGTGCACGACAGTGGTGGTATTCATTGCACACGAGGATACACCCACAGTTATGGAACAATCGGAAACTGTATCGCTTAGGCCTCAGTCAAGGCAAATTGCATCGACTACCGCTTTGGTGGCTCAAATGGAAAGCGTATGTCGAGGGGGCATCAGCATATCTCATACTCGATCACATTTCTTTTCTACTTGCATGTTACCTGATGTTTGGGCCATTTTAGCGCCGTCTTTAGATGGAATAATACCCTGTATTCGACGTCAACTGGCACTATTCTATCTTGAACAAGGCGGACGCAATCAAGCGCTTGGTGGAACTGTCCCTATTCTCGTCACCCTGCGAGGCTTACATCGTGGATTCTCTTGTCGTTGCCGACTGTTGCCGCCGTGAGGTATTGAAACAACGATCAAGTTTGTATTTTAAATATGAAATCTTGTCTTTAGCTTTGGATATATTTTAAGTTGAACACGGTGATAAATGAATAGTCCTTACTAGCTATCATACTTTCGGGTGGATAAAGGTAACCATGCATAAATTTAGTAGATTTCAATCACCCAACAGAAATATTCCACTACAGGAAACTGCAGAAAGCACTGGTTAAAAAAGGGGCACGCGCTGTTCAACGCGCTCATAGGTAAGCATCTACATAAAGCCCAACTACTCCACTTGGGTCGACACATTTTCCAAACCTAGGTTGAGTTTCTTCTGAAACACGTTTCCTAGTTCGTCGTGGAGCAAGTCTTCTAAACTACGCCCATCGCGCGAGTAGCGCCAGTCGTCAGATTCAGGGAAATAGTCATACCGCTTCGGGCCACTACAACCAGGATCATGGTGAAGTTGGCAAACGGATAGGGGGGTGAAGTCGAATGTGAGGTTGTGAGTTGGAACGAAAGATACCATCAGCAAAATTAACATTTGATATACCAGAAAATACTCACCTTAGTGGTGAAGAAAGCCATATTTGCTTGTTAGGTGGTTGCTTGTTAATGACATATGTCCCATTATTCCCGAGAATGAGAGTCAGTACACCGCTCTGAGATATGCTAATCAGCTTTGCTGACTCGATTTCTCATAAAAACCAAGTTGTAGAATTGCCTGATAATGTAACACAGAAATGCAAGTAAGGAAGCCGAGAGACTCACATGATAATCAACTTCATAGGCGGCATTACCAGTTTCATCTAGCAAGTCCTCCAGCCGTTCAAGTAGCGTGGCCATTGTAGCATCTGACAGCTTGTGATAGTTTTCCACTGTAAGCTCGCTAAGAAAGACAGAACGCAGGGTCAGTTTTCCTCACATCGGAGTGCTAGAGAAGGACGGCAAGAAACCGAACCTGACATTTAGCTGAGGCGCGGGGGTGCTCATCGCCCGTGTAAGCAAACGAGTGCTGACTGAGCTCGAGAACATGGATGATACATTTTTGAACGTTCTCCTCGATATGATGTTGGAGGATGGCGAGGACCGAAGTGATTGACGGACGAGTCGACGAGCAAGAGTGCGGGATAACATAGCGGCAGCTCAACAGTATTCGCAGACTGAAAATCCCTCTAGACTTGAAGCTCGATTTACGGCCCGGCCTTTCCGCGATGTCGATTCGCCAGTTTGTCCAAGTTTGTATGAATTTGACGTGACTTGCATATTCCTCAGGCTGACGGTGACCTTGACGCTACTTCAAGTTGTACTTATATATTCCTTTGCATCGAGAGTAAGACACTTAGGACCACTGAGTCCCTCTAGGTCATTCTGGCACCACATGATGGCCAGCAAACGTGCCCACCTTACGCCTGAACAGATCGAACTGGCCGAGCAAAGAAAGCTGAAAAAACAAAAACAGCTTGAAGTACAAGCCCCGTCTACTCCACCGAAAGCGCCTATACTTTTACGAGAATGGGCACCATTACTCTTGCATCAAAGCCCAAGGAAAGATGAGGCTGCTTTCCCAGTGAAGATCATGACCTTTAACGTCCGTGCATTTTCTATCATCCCAACTGCTCTTCCGAGTCGACGTTCGCGTCATTGATTGCATATTACACAGCTACTCGCGCAAACTCTCATTCGTAAGTTATATTGTTATGCGATTGTGTCAGTAATTCACTGATTTTGCTCACGATAGGTCGCGAAAGCTTTCCTACCAGTTCTCAAGCTCTCAGAGCCGGGTCAAGGGAGCCTATGATTCATCATGAAATTCTGTCTCATGGAGCCGATATCCTATGTCTTCAGGAAAGTTACTCTCTTGATCGATTTCATCCATCGCGCGATCTTAATTGTTCGTGATTTTACAGGAGGTTGACCGCCTGGAGAAGCTGCTGCCCGTACTGAACGAAGCTGGATATTCTCACACATTCGTGGCTGGACCTGGGAAGAAGCATGGTTGTCTTATTGCCTATGCAAAAGACAAGTACACGAAAGTAGGCGATAAAGTGGTTTACTACGACGAGCAAGAAGTGCGGCATGACATTGACGATGAGAAGGCGCGTGTCGGATGTAGCTTTAAAACAAGGAACATAGGATCTTTGGTTGCTCTTAAACATTTAAAAGGCGATGGCGTTATAATCGCAACAACGCATTTGTTTTGGCATCCCTCGTAAGTCGAGCGCGTCTTCTTTTCGCAGATAAGCTGACACTAGATTCAAATTTAGTTATCACTACGAACGCACAAGGTGATTAAAAGTCGTGATTTCTTATATGTAACTAATCATTTTCCAGACAAGTCGGAATTCTAGTAAGGGAAACCCTCAAGTTTCAGAGAGAATACGACCTTCGAGAATGGCCATGCTTCATCGCTGGTGGTAAATATAAAGCTTGTATTCTATAAAGCTTTCTTATCTAATAGTCCCTCTCACCTTCTTAGACTTCAACTTTGCCCCTGGCGATCCTGCGTATCCATTATTAGTAGGGGATGCTCTTACTCAGGATCAAGAGCGATGTCTAAATTCATCGCGGGTAGTACATGTCTCCATTGACCCAACTGTATCGACCGTCAAGAATACTGAGACGGAAGCCGAAGGCGGCGAAACAGATCCTGATAAGATTATCACGAAAGCAAGACCTGCAAGACCCGCTGATGGTTTACTCTCCACACCTGAGCTAGTAGAGCTATTCTCAACAGGCGCTCATCTACGAAGTGCATATGACGAGGGTCAAAAGGCACTGCGGGAAAGTGGCGTTGAAATAGAGACGTTTGGAGACAGGTGTTCCCTACCGCCATCAAAGCTTGGAGCCCATGAACCCATGTGGACTTGTTACACTCATTATTGGAAAACCGTTCTAGGTATCGTGAAGTCAAATGTTTGATGGAAAGATCTAACTGTTAGCGGTGTCACGCAGATTATATTTTTGTGTTAGAACCTGCTCGCTCACGAGTAGTTTTGACGGGATATACCAAGCCACATCGCACAGAGGATATACGACTGGGTCTTCCGCAAGTTGGAATATGTGGTAGCGACCATTTTTCCGTATGCGCAGAATTCCATGTTATACCAGAAGAACCTAGGCCCACATAACTGGTGTCTCTGATGATGAGTACTTATTCCACTATACGTAACTTTCCGCTATCAAATAACGAGGAATTTTCATTATCGAGCGCTTGCTATAGAATGCGGACTCGTGTCGTTTTAGTCTCTTAGAGCAGAAGAGTCTTTTCATTCAAGCACTTGCTGTCACGGTATTGGTGTTACGTCACGTGTTATCGACGCGTGACTGAATGGGATATCGATATCATGATTCCACCATGACCTGTTTGCGCTAGAACAGCTATGAATGTGTTAGTATACGCCGACGTCCAATCGCCTGAAATCCACCAGACTATCACAACGCTCAAACGTATTCTTGTTCCGCATTACACCGTTCAGCCAATCTCGACTGACTCCTTGCTCACGCAACCCTGGCAGCCATCCTGCGCGCTCTTCGTACTTACAGCCTCCCCGACTAGACACCAAGAGGCAACCTCGCTGACAGGAAATGCAGCGGGAGTGGTGGAAAAGTATGTGGAATCTGGAGGATCTGTGCTCGGATTAGGGTATGATGTAGGAAAGAGTGGATCAGCACCTGGATTTGGATCTGATCTGAGTATGCTGAGAGACGGCAAGCAATTTAGGCTGCACGACAAAAAGTCGGGTAATACTGTCTACCCTCGTTCGTTCTCTCCTTCAACTGAGACGCCTTCAACTCATGTTCACATCCTTGAATCGGGAACTACGCTTGCACTCCCTGTGCATTCTTCCTCTCCACAGCCTAACAGCGAATCCGAATTTGAATCGGAGGTCACAAACCTCGAGAATATGTCCAATCTCACTGTCCTTGCACGTTTCGAGCCATCAAACGCGATCGCTGGCCTTCAAATGAGTATTGGAAGCGGAAAAGCTGCATTTTGGGCTGAAAGAGTTGATTTACCTTCTACTATAACGTCGCCGGATGCTGCTTTTGTGTCTTCTGTCCCGTCCAACGGATCTCAAGCTCAAGAGCAGATTCGTCCGTTACTTCCTGCTCTTACTCATGCTCTCCAATCCCTCGGAATACTCGTCCCCGCTTCAGACGTGCATCCTTCCAATGCATCCAAACCAGCAACGATAACTTCAAAACCCACGTTATCACACCCTCTTCCCCAGTTTCTTTTCTCGCGTCCGAAGGAACCTGAAATAGTCCAAGATTTCATCAGAGCACTTTTCCCTGCGTCTCACTCTACTACAGGTAAATCCCCGCAGGTGTTAGAAGACACGGATGATACGTTCTACTTCCACATGGCTGAAAAAGGTGAGAAAATATGGCTGATGTTCACCTCAGCCCCCCTTCGAACTAAGGTTCTTCTACCGCTTCTTCAGACAACAAGACAGCAGACACAACCGCAAAGCACATCATCCTTTCTCTCCCCCCTTCCAGTTACACCCCTCTCTTCGATTCTAGTGTCTTCTTTGAGGCACTACAGGACGCAAGGGTGGAAGTAAATGCTCTCGATGATAATACTCCTGACAACGGCTGGAGCTTGGGTGACCTGCTCCTCTATGGTCCCCTCGTTACGAGTACGCAGACGATGTTCGACAAGTGAGTTCATTTTTTTCCATTTCCCTTTATCCCTGGTGTAGCTCCAGGTGCTTGACATTTTGAGCTGACTTTGTTTTTACCTTTCTCGCGCTCATCTTCCGTCTCGTGCTACACAACGCAATCTTCATCAAAATTAAACTGCACCCCATCGACATACTGTCACGTTACTTTCACTCTGATCAGAAACCCTCGCTTTCTCTCCGGGCACCCTGTCCCTCTCCTTTCCATTGCCTCCTATCAGCTTCAGGGGAGAGGTCGTGGTAAAAACGAATGGGTATCTCCTGGGGGCTGTCTGATGATGAGCTTTTCTTTGCGGGCTGCCTTGGGCCCTCAGTTTGGGTGGGACCGCAGCGGTGCTCAAGGCATAACGAGTGCTAATCGTTTGGTATTTGTTCAATACCTGGCGGCGCTTGCCGTCGTTGAGGGCGTTCGTGCGGTCTTTAAGGCGCTAGGAAGCGGGACCAGTAGTACTGCCTCCAGTGCTCGTTTATCCAGTGGACTGGCGGATAAGGTGAAAATAAAGTGGCCAAATGATATTTATGTCGAACTCGATACCGAGAAAGGAGTGGAGAGGAAGAAGATTGGGGGCGTTCTTGTGAATTCAAGTTTCGGAGGTGGGAAAGTAGATATTGTTGTCGGTGAGTCATCCTCAATGGCTAGGTTCTCGTTGGCTGCATGTACAACGTGTATTCTCTTCTTACTCTTTCTTCCTTTTATTGTCCGCTTTGTGTGCCATTACAATTATGTCGACATTTCATCTACGTCTACACTAACCATTTGAGTCTCTTCCCACCCACCAGCATAGATCTAATCATTAATTCTCACAGGGATTGGCCTGAATGTTCTTTCCCTTCCTCCCCTTGCCTCCATTGCACAGCTGTTACCACCCGATTTAAGGCCAGACAAGGTGGTTGAGGTTGATGACGTATTACATACATTCGATTCTGGACATGCGCCTAGGTCTACGCCAAAGAATACGTCCACATCAGAACCATCCTTGTGCCCCTCTCCAGATGCATCTGCAGAGCCTTCTTCACATACCAAAGCAGCCCAAACAAAACTTACCATCGAGCACACAGCCGCCTCGATCATTGCTACTTTCGACGTGATGTGGACCGACTTTTTGAATAATGGAGGCTCGTTCGATCCGTTTATGGAACTTTACTTGAAGAGGTGGATGCATTCGTGAGTCTTCTAATGGGATGTTGCCTTTCGACTTGAAAGCTAAATAATCACTGAATAGCGACCAAATTGTCACACTGACGACAACTACTCCGCCTACGATTGTCCGTATTGTTGGAATCACTCCTGATCACGGGCTTCTAAGGACCATTCCGGAGCGGGTAGGGTTTGGTCTAGGTTCTGGAGGAGGGGAGTCAGAAGGAGGGAGATATATCGACCTCCAGCCCGACGGGAATAGTTTCGATCTAATGGCGGGTATGATACGCGTCAAGGCTTAGCAGCACCTTTTTAAGTTCCGGGAGTTCAATTTCAAAGGCAAGCTGGATGACTTTGAACTCATGTACTAAATGCAAACACGACTTATTGCCTTCACATCTTACACGAGATGGCTTTTGGTTTTGGTCAGAATCAGTCTATTGTGTTGGCTCATTATCCAGCTCTCACTGGGGTGACAGGTAAAATAATAATGGCTCTGTAGAGCTACTGCATATTTTGAGTCAAAACAAACACTTTGAGTAGCCCCTAAAGAAATATTTTGAGAGCGTGCGGGTTTATTGCCTGACACGTCACGCTCGGCAGTCACCTAGATTAGTCACATCGGAAGCGTAAATCCGAAAATGCTGACCTCAGACGTTTGCTAAGAAAGAACGAAACTTTTTGACTGTCTATACAAGACCACTCATGCCACCATATCTCACCACTGCCCTTCCACTCCGCGTACTCTCTCGCACTACCTTCCTATCAAAAGCACCACTACGCACCTTTGCCTCCCTACAACAGCGGATAACATGCTCCCGTCTTCCTCAGGCTCCGTCTATGAGCAATAAAAGCTGGGATATGACCGCAACCTTGATGACAAGAACAAGAGGGATACACAGCTCTTCTGGTATGTTTCCACACTCTTTCGTCAACCCATTCAAAGCTACTGTTGATACAAGCTGATCCCTACTTTTAAAGTACAGCGTCATGGCTCGTTAACGCGACCTGCACCTGGGACTGGGTACGTCCGCTTTATCATTGCCTTGCCTTGTTTATCTATCTCATTCTCGACATTTCATCCCCTTTCAAACCATAAACTTTAATCATGCATAAACACTATTCACAGCATAACCGTCCACTTCAAAGACTCCAAAGGCGCACTCATAAAAACAATCGAGGGCAATGAAGGAGATGACATACTGTCGTTAGCGCATGAACATGATATCGATCTCGAGGGTGAGTCTCTTCCCACTAATTTTACCCACCGCCCATCTCGCGGTCGTCGAGTATCAAAGTAGTTCCCCCTTACTTATGACCATTCCAATAAAAGGTGCCTGTGAAGCTTCTCTCGCATGCTCTACATGTCACGTCTATGTCACTCCTCAGCACTACCCCCTCCTCCCAGAGCCATCGGACGATGAGAACGATATGCTCGACATGGCGTTTGGTTTAGGAGAGTTCTCACGTTTGGGCTGTCAGGTTAGTTATTTTGGTTTCGCAGTATCTATATTGACTTGGAATAATGACTGGATACATCTGTTTTCGTTAACAAATCCACAGGTTCAATTGACACCAGAGCTAGACGGTATGGAGGTTCAGTTGCCCAGTGCGACACGCAATATGTTCGTCGATGGGAAGAAACCTACGCATCATTAGTGCAGATTGTGAATGGTGGTCGTCTGGTAAGGTCGTCAGAGTGGAAGAGGTGAAGATGTGCAGCTCGGGATGGAAGGGGTACGACGAATGAGCATGGGTGGAATGGGGAGTATGAAGGGGTGGAGATAAGGGAAATAGAGAATGTGGCATTTTGGAAAGCGTGAGGTCCCAGCGGTAGGCGATGATGGCCTCCATCCTAGCCTTTCCCATTTTCACCCCATCAAAATAATCCTCCAAACTTACATCTCATCTACGCTCAACACACTGCATCGCGTTCATGCGTGCTCACTGGTCACTGGTGGATAACAATATTTGATGTGGATCTGCTTTAAACCTTAGACTGTCCTTGTCATCGTTGATTCACGGTACTAATTCCAAATATTTTATTTACATATTGCACTCTCTACTCACCCAATGGCGGCGTTAATCATGATACACAGGATGGTCAATTTACCTGCATCAAGTAGAGTTCCACTCAATTTCTGAGGTTGCAGTCCTTTCGTGTGGCCATGATGTCTTTGGTCTGAAATTCCTAGTCCCAACATCTAATTTTTGCCAAAACCTTGCAAGGCCCAGCGAGACTGCTTAGTTGGGGCTAGCTTAGAAACTGACCCTCCATCCCTCCATTAACTAATATCATATTATATTAGGTAGTCTTATTTTCCTTGCATTATATGCTGTTGGTAAGAGGAGAGTCATGGAGAAACTTGTTGCTATTGGGCAAGACTTAACATTATTGAGAGACAGATAGACTTAGATAAAGCTCATCATTATCAAGAGAACACATAATGATTGATCACATTGCCAGCAATGGGGTCAAAAAAATGACTTGTCAACACATTGTTTTTGGCTCCTGCTTGTATCCCTACTGTTACAACCAAAGTTTAGATACTCTGGTGCACATATAAGACAAGCAAAATGGGTGAGTGAAGGAGTGGATAAACTCCATTATGGTAGGACCAAGTTAATTGAGGGTAATCAACAGGAGGACTTGCTGAGGAGTCTCTTTGATTTATTGGGGTTTATATACATCTACAGACTATTTGTACATGTGTACTATACAGTTGATAAAGATAGTGGTTGATAATGTCATAGGGTGCAGCCCTTGTGACCAGCTCCTAATCCATACCTCTGAGCTTCCTAGGAGCTGAGGGATTCTTAGAATAGAAGTTGTGAACAGTATTGCAGGAATTGTCCAGATGGGTTTCTGGTTCCTACATTCTGTCCTCATCTCCATAGCCTTTCCAGAGAACTAGAAACTCTAATTTTCCTCACTTCAAGCGTGCATCCACCACCCCTTCAACCTCAAACTCTTCTTCACCTTCCTGGGTGACTACAACCGGTCCGGGCTGGTCTACATGCTGTTCTGGTAGCGGTCCTTTGTAGGGTTTCACATAGCTAATATTGACCATGGGTACTACCCTCATTCTTTTTGGGAGTTCCAGCTCCACCGCATTTGGCTTGAATTCCTTAATCTGGTAAGGTCCAATCCACTTTTTGGTCAGTTTTCTAGACTGCTGACCTTTCAATTTCAAGTGGTCGGTATCTAACCAGACCAGGTCGCCAACCATGTAATCAGGGGCTTTAGAGTGTCCATGATCTTGCATTCTGGCCAGTCTAGAATCCCTTCTACTTTGATCGGGTCCATACAGATTTTGTTTTGTGATATTATTAGACTAATATATTCTACCAAGGTTTCTTTGAAATCACATTTTTCCAGTTTCAGATATAGGTGGTTCTTTCTTAAAATATCAAGTACTCAGTGCATCATTGCCTGATGTTCCTCAATTGTTTCTGTGAAAATCATGATATCATTGAGGTATATTACAACCTTTTTGTCATCAATCAAATCTTTGAATAGTGCGTCCATCATTGTTTTAAACATTGCTGGTGAATTTGTGAGTCTGCAGAATGTTAGATTCCTACACCTTTTGTTGAACTAACAGAGGTGTAAGTCTCAAAATCAATCAAGTAGCATCAAATATTGATGTAAAGAAGTAATCAACAACTGGGGAAAATATGTACATGAGTAACTGTTTATATATGTTCTGTGGGTCAGCCATGAGGCGCTGACTGATGTGTTTGCATCATGGTCCAGACTTGGTCAGGTGACTGTAAGGTCAGGTGACGAGATAAGATAAGCATTACTATGTATGTGATTATGTGACAATAAGGTCACATGATGAGATAGGATTTTGGAACTCTATAGATTAGATGAGACTTTCAATGGCTCAAATCATGACATTACCCCCTCCTTAAGACTTTCGTCTCGAAAGTGAGGGTCAAGTTTGCCAGATTCCCAATTGAACAGTTGTTTACATACTCTAGTTTCAGTGAAGTTTTTGAAGGGTTGGAAGTGTAGTTGAAATTGTATCCGACAAGGTGCATTAGGGTTTTTTGAGTGGAATAATTCTACCAGTTTAGGTGAATTAGTAAGGTGATTTTTGGGTTCCCATGTGCGTTCCTCTTTTGGATAATTTTTCCAATGTACTAGACATTCCAATTTGCCTCTTTTTAGACGTGAGTCTAGAACTTCTTCAACTTTGTACTCTTTCTGTCCGTCCACTATCACCGGTGGTATCGGTTTTGGTTTTTCTTGAGAAGGGAATTTAGGTTCATGGTATGGTGTGAGTTTTGTCTTGTTAAAGACTGGGTGAATAGTTCACCATGTAGGTGGTAATAGTAGCTTGTAAGCTGATTTGCCTATCTTTTCTGTAATTTTGAACGGACCATGTCGTTTATCATCCAATTTCTTGGTTGGTCTATCAGTCGAAATGTTTGTTGCTTCTACATAGACTTTGTCTCCTACTTTGCATTCTACTGCTTCTCTTTTCTTTTTATTGTACTGCTTTTTCATCTGTTCTGCCGCTTTTTTTAATGATTCTTCTGCCTTTCTCCTTGTTTCTGTCATTTTTTTTCACAAATTCCTCCGCACTCTCATTTCTTACTCTTGTTTCTTCTTGTGTTCTTGGGTGATGGCCTTGATTGAGATAGAATGGACTATAGCCAGTTGCGGAATATGGTTTATTATTGTATGAGAATTCAGCTAGGGTAAGCCATTCTACCCAATTGTCTTGTTTATGATTAACAAAGATTCAAAGACATTGTTCTATCTCCTGATTAATTCTCTCCGTTTGTCCATCTGTTTGTGGATGCCACACCGTCAATGGGTTTTCTTCTATTTTGAGTAGCATGTGAAGATCTTTCATGAATGTGGAAACAAACTGTGGTCCCTGATCCAAGATGATCTTTTCTGGTATGCCGTGGTTTCTGAATACATGGTCTCTGAATAGTCTTGCTACTCCTTCAGAAGTTATTTCCATCTGGGTAGGTATCACTTTGATCATCTTGGTGAATCTGTCTACTACTGCCATGATCATATTATAACCAATGGATTTGGGTAGTGGTCCGATCAGATCTACCAATATGATTTGCCATGGTATTGATGGGATTTTACTTGGATGGAGTGGTGATGCCTTCTTCTTATGATCCATCTTTGTTCTTTAACAGGTCCTGCATCCATCCACATATCTTGTGATATCTCTGTCCACGTAGGGCCACCAGTATTCTTGACTTATCAGCTTTTTGGTTTTATATCTTCCTGGGTGCCCTGCAATAGTGGAGTCATGATTACATCTAATGATTTTCTCTCTCAACTTGGCATCTCTTGGTACATAGACTCTGCCTTTGAATACTATGTAGCCTTCGTCCTCAAACTATCCATCTTCTCTCTTTTCTATTTTTCCCTTCATTTTTTTTATCAAGTCATCCACATTCCCCATCCTCTTCTTGATCCACTTGCTTACTGTTAACTCTTCTTCTTGGCTGTCTGCTATTCTTTGTCTTTGTTCTGGGGTTAGCATCATGCATACGGAGAGTTTTTTGTCTAGCAGTGTTATATTCTCGTTATCATCTTCTTTTTTGTTGTGATCAGATCTCCTCGATAATAGATCTGCTTTGATATGTTTTTGGCCAGGTATGTGGTGTATCAAGAAGTGGTATTGACTTAATTCAGTCATCCATCTTGCCTGTCACCTATACAACTTCTTAGGTTCTTTGAAATATAGTAGATTTTGATGATCTGTCCATATTTCAAATTCCTCTTCTGCATCTATTAGATAGTGTCTCCATTCATTGAGCGCTGTCATGATGGCTAGAAGCTGCTCTGTGGGGTTTAGTGCTTTAGAGAGGTATGCAATCAGTCTCCAGCCATCTTTTTGTCTTTGTGATAATACAGCTCCCATTGCAAAGTCACTACTATCTGCCTCCACTTTGTATTAACCATGAGGTACCGGGAGGGCTAACACCGGGGCTGAAGCAACACACATTTTTAATGTTTCAAATGCTTCACATTGTTCATTTCCCCAAATGAAATCCTCTTTTCCCGTTAACTTGGTCAATAGTTTCACTACTTCTCCAAATCCTTCTATAAACCTTCTATAGAAGTTAACAAAGCCGAGAAATGCTTGAATATCCTTTTTGTTTTTGCATTCTGGCCATTTGCTAATTCTTTCTACCTTTACCGGATCCATGCAGATTTCATTCTCTGAGATGATAAGTCCCAGATATTCTACTGATGTTTGTTCAAAATCACATTTCTCTGGTTTTAGATATAGATGGTTTTTCCTCAGGATTTCTAGCACACGTCGCGTCGTTGCTCGGTGTGTTTCCATGTCTTTTGTAAAGATCATAATGTAATCTAGATATATGATCACGGGCCTTTCATCTATCAACTCTTTGAACAAGGTGTTCATCATTGTCTGGAACATGGCAGGGGAGTTAGTAAGTCCGAAGAACATTACTAATGGTTCAAATAGTCCCCAATTTGTTCTAAACACTGCTTTTGGCTCATCCCCCTCTTTTATACGGATATTATTGTATCCCCACCTAATATCCAGCTTTGTGAAGTATTTTGCTCCACTAAGCTTGTCTACCAGTTCACCTATCAATGAAAGTGGATATCTGTTTTTTATTGTGATATTGTTTAACTTCCTGTAGTCTTGTACCGGTCTCAACTTCCCGTCTTTCTTTTTGATGAAGAAGAATGGTGATGCAAATGGGGATTTGGATGATCTTATCCTTCCTGATTCTAAGTTTTCTTTTAGGAATGCGTCTAATTCTTCTTGTTCTCCTCGTGCTAACAGATAGATTTTGCAATCAAGAGAGTGATCTCCTGGTATCAGCTTTATCGCATGATCCCATTGTCTTCTCTTTGGTAGTGCATCAAACTCTTTTTTACCAAATACATCTTTGTATTGATGTAGATATTTGGGCACTATTTTTTTTGAATCCACCTTCTTTCTGTCTTTACCTGCGGCTTCAGCTAGCTGTTGTGCTGTTGTGCCTTGGGCTTGAATATGGTAATACTGGTTATCTATGGTAGTGTCTTCAAAATTTGTGAGA